GCTCGCTCCCGTAATGACTTCATTGTCGCTGGGTCGCCGCGCCCACACCACTACTGGCTCAGAGCTTCGCCAAGTGTTGTTGTTGTTGCTGCTGCGTGTCCTTAGGCCCCGCGCGCGCGTAGCGGATGCGTTACGGGAATTGAATTTGGCGGCGTGGAGATGCCGCGGCCGTTTAGTTTCGACACGCTAATGTCGTTCCCACGTAGTTTGCCCCGCTCTCCCGCTCTCCTCCCTTTCCCCTTCTCTCTCTCTCTCTCTCTCTCTCTCTCTCTCTCTCTCTCTCTCTCTTCTGCACTCTCCCCCTTCCGTTACGAGGGAACACTCCACCCGAGGCTGTCGTTAAAGGGGCCATCGAAACTTAGCTAAATGCTTTGATACGAATAATAATTATTATTGCGTGTGCGTGTGTGTGTGTGTGTGTGTGCGCACAATTTGCCTGCCTTGATGACTACGCCAGTTTTGCCCTAATTCCTCTCGTAAAATTACGCTAACTTCAGCACACCTTTCGGCTAAAAGAAATCAATCAGTGACACGTTTTGTAAAATTTAGGGCGGCCCAAGTACAAATTCTTTCGGAGCTAGGCCGTAATTTCTTTCCTCTGGCTATAAAATTTTGGAAACAGAATGTTACCAGGTACACTGGAAAAACAAAGGTGCGATATCCTATCTTTCCAGGGGTGCTAAACCCGTTTTGGGGGTACTAATGTGCGTATTTTCAGATTTTCACAAATATTTTCTGAATGAGCAAACTGATAACATTTTGGGATACATTGTCGCATTCCTCGCAAAATTCCGCGTCAAACGAGCCTACAATCTTTCCAAGTAGCAAGACGTCCACTACTGTGTCGTGTTGCGAAACCACTGGAAAATTGATTCTAGAAATGGAAGGCGATGGGGAGGGGGAAATGTATTGCGCGCGGTGGAAGAGGCAGAGAGGGAGAGGGAGAGGGAGAGAGAGAGAGTGCGAGCGAGCGGCAGACTTTTGCATGGGAACATCTCTTCGTGTGCGGACGGACGCCACTCACTCCAACTTGTCGCCGTCCTTCGCCTCTTTGAGAAAGTTTTATACGCGGCGATCTCGTTAGGTCACTGCTTGAGTTACAAAGTCTGGCCAATCTGCATCTCATTCCGGTCCACCAGGACTTCACGGATGTGCCTGAAACCCGAGGAGGAGGACGACCAGGAAAACGGGGAGGGGAAAGGGGGGAGGGGTAGGAGGTACCAGTCGTGATCCTTGGTTGCGACGGCCGAAGGAGAGCGAAGCAGAAACACTTTTTTATTCCCTGTCTCTGATCAGCAGCGCATTCCGTGTGAATAATGTGTGTCCCGCGAATAATGCAGCGCGGTGCGGTATGAGAGAGAGAGAGAGAGAGAGAGAGAGATAGAGAAAGAGAGAGAGAGAGAGAGAGAGAGAGAGAGAGAGAGAGAGCAAGTAAGCAACAGATAAAGCCATAAATCGATGCGGCTCTTGTGACTCACACCTCTACACGATAAGTGGTGACACACTCACAAAAATGTTTTCTTGCCCCAATCCCAAAAATATTCTTGACTCAATTTTACTTGGGACGAGAATAATTTTCTCGAGTGAAGACGATTTTTCTCGTTCGAAGAAACATGGTTTTCTTCCCACAAGAAGAAAATATTCTTGATACATTCTGCTCAGCCCAAGAAAATAATATGCTTGTGCTTGTGCTAGGCCGGGCGGGCGTGGGTGGAGGGGGGACGGACGGATTAGGGTGGAGCGCGCGAGAGGACCGGGCTACCTGAGGTACAAAGGCAGCGCTGGGGACACGGTCACGCATGTGGCTTCATAGCTCAAACGGTTACTGCTTACGCTTCAGCGCTGAGTTGACACGAGCAGGGTTCGAATCCCCGCAGTGCCAATTGAAGGCGTGAGTTGCATTAAGGAGAATCGAACCAGCTGTCACTACCGTCATAACCCACTGTGAGACAGAGTTCAAGACTGTCTCCGGGGGCACTATTTCACTTATTACAGCCAAGACTAAATATTCTTGGGATAAGAAAATAATTCTTGAAGGAAGATTTTTATGGAGGATTGACACAAGAAAAAAATATTCTTGGGCCAAGAATACGAATTCTTGTAGGAGTGACAAGAATAAAATATTCTTGGCTCAAGTAGATTTCGGTTGCGGCAAGAAAACATTTTTGTGAGTGCACTGGTGAAGATTGCGCCGAGGCGCGGAAACATGGAAAGGTGGTGGTGGGAGGGGGGCGAATAAAGAAGTAGGAGGGAAAAGAAAGAACTGAGAAAAAAATAATAAAGTGATATGGAAAGAGGATCATCCGTCATGAAAAAAGGGAGAAGGGGGGGCGAGAAAGGGGCTAGAGGGGGGCCTATCTGCACGGCTTAACATTTAAAGTTCCGACGACAGTGGAATATGGAACAATCCCAAAAAGTTTGGTGGTGAGCATCGCCCCTCGCCGCCCCCCTCACCCCCGTAACGTGTGTATAATAGGCGTCTAAAGTTGGCCAATAACTCAGCCATATCTTTCTGGTGATACGCCGCCGTCGTCCGCCTTTTCACTCGGCGCTTGTCGACGCTGATCTGTGTGCCGCGTCCTCTAGCCCCCCCCCCCTCTTTTCCTATCGTCCGTCGCGGAAGGAAACGCACGTACCGTCGTAAACACAATTATAATGAGGTTGAGGTGTACACCCCGCGCTGAATACCGACGCTTATTTTTGTGCCCGTTCTTATTTTATGTAGTCACTGCTCGTGCCGAGGCTCTTGTGACTTGTGCCCATTATTTTCATGTGCGTATAGTTATGCCCGCCAGCCAAACATTTAAAGAGCAGCAGCCACAGGGCGGTCCGGGACGCTCTAGGCGCCCTCCTCCCTCGGGCTCGGGCCGCACGTGACGGGGGGAGGGTGGGGCCGCGTGGGGCCCCCGAGCTGGAATTAGACGCTTCTGGTGCGCCAGTTTGTTTTGCCCTGTTCGGGCGGGGCTGGAGGGAGCAGCCAAACAGCAGCTGGGGGCAGCTGGCGCACGCCCGTGGGGGCGGCGCGGGGGGCGGCGCTGGGCATGGTAACGGCAAGGTCCGCGTTGCGCGTGCGGCGTTCGTTCGGCTCGTTGCGAGCCAAGATAGATGATCGGGCCGGTAAACTCCATCTATCGATTTGGCCGCCATTAAGTTGCCGTCTGAGAGAGATTGGGGGAGGGGGGAGAGAGAAGAGCGGGAAGGAGAAGGGGGAGTGAGAATGAGAATGAGGAGAATGATTGAGGGTCGCACATAGCGCCGTACTGTGTATGACAACTTCCCTATTATTGTATGGTGCTCATGTACGCACGAATGATGGGGAGAATAGGAATACAGTGATTTCTGCACCATGTGCAATATTGTACATATTTCGCGGGTAACGACTCTTGCGTCTAACGGGCCCAGTTGTACAACTAGAAATCCGTAAGTCTTTTCACTTTTAGGTAAAATAAGTACGGAATTTCAAGG